GCACCGTGGGGGGGGGGGTCAGACGGTCCGGGCCCCCCAGGTGGTCATCGACCCTGGGGCAGAGGGCCCTGCCCATGACACCCGGGAGGAGGACGGCGGCGGCCAGGAGCCGCAGGAGCCTGGAGCGAGCGTACCCCGCACCAAGCCATCCCAGCAAGCCTGTTGCCAGTGTCATCTGAGGCCAGGGAAGCCTCGACATGTGAGTGCCAGCACTGTCCCCTTATGCAGGGCGGGGGAGACCAGGGACCGCGCCCGTGGGCCTTGCTGACTACGGAGCACGCAGCAACCTGTGCATGTGCCGTGCCACCCTGGGCATGTGGCCCCAGCTGGCTGTCACACAGGGGCCCTGGCCTATTACCCACATGCATGTATGTATGTATGAAGGCACATGACATGCTCCTAACCCTGGGGAGGGACACTGCACGATGCTCTCCCTCCACAAGCCCCCTCTACGCAGAGGCAGGGCACATCTCCCCTTTCCCCCTGCACACGCACACACTATATACAGCAGAGGGGCCAGCTCACACTCCGGAGATAACAGGACATGATGGTGCTGACACCTGCTGTCCTCGCCTTGCATAGGGGGGCTGGGCTTCACCCACTGTGTCCATAGGGAGAACTGACCACTTCTCGTGTTTGTCCACAGCTGCAGCAGCTGCGAATGCAGGGCGTACCACCCCGCCCAGGACATCCGCCCGCATCCGGGCCCTTAGCAGGCTGACCCAGAACCTGAAGTACCACCAGCGGCAGCACCTGGAGCTCCTGCAAAGGCAGGTCCGCTGCCAGGAGCACTGGGTGCAAGAAGACCTGCAGCTGCGGTGGGAGAGCTTGCGGGAGCTGCTTGACCAGGGGCGTGCCATCCGCGACCACCTGTAGACCCTGGTGCAGAGATTACTGCCTGCTGTTGCTCCAGCCCCTTTGACCGCCCAAGCTATCACTCCTCCTCCCACTCCTGCTCCTGCTCCCCTCCTGCTTCTTCCTTCCCCTCCACCCCACCTTCGAAATAATACCCTTAGTTGGCACATCTCTTGTGAAAATACTTAGTGTGAAAGCTTTTCCACCACACAGATAATCCATATTTTACTAAATCACAATTCCATAGAAGAAATCACATTTTTCCAATCAAGTGCAATATAAAATCTTGCTGCTAACGATACAAAAAATGAATTTGTTGTTCTATTTAAATGTTGATCATTTACTGGGGCATTAAGCAATCAAGTTAAGAAATCTATAGGATGCTGGAGTTTAATAAGGAGTAATGGGCTTAAAGTGCAGCAGAGGAGGTTTAGATTGGACATTAGGAAAAAATTCCTAACTGTCAGGGTGGTCTAATCTTGGAATAAATTGCCAAGGGAGGTGGTGGAATCTCCCTCTCTGGAGATATTTAAGAACAGGTTAGATAGACATCTGTCAGGGATGGTGTAGACGGAGGTTGGTCCTGCCTTGAGGGCGGGGGGCTGGACTCGATGACCTCTCGAGGTCCCTTCCAGTCTTATTATTCTATGATTCTATGAATAAATGAATTATGATTAGATGACAAAAGTACTCTTTGGAAGTTGTTAGAGCTGACATTTCAGATATGGTATTTCCCCTTTAGTTATGTAAAAAAAAAATTTTTCAGAAGCTGATCCAAACAAATGTATTTCTTGTACAACTCGAAGAAGGGCCCTTCCCCAAGGTTAAAGTGTCAACTCAAATTTATTTTTCATTGCTATAGCAGATTTTACAACAGAGGTAGGGGAAATTTGCCTGATTTTATGTAGGATTTTAACACATCACATTATATTTAGCAACAACTATATTAGTAGTTCTCAAACTGTAGGTGGGGATCCCAAAGTGAGTTGTAATCCCCTTTGAGTGGGGTTTGCCAGGGCTGGCTTAGACTTGCTGGGGCTCAGGGCAAACACTCAAGCCCCACTACCCAGGGCTGAAGACAAAGTCTGAGGGCTTCAGCTCTCGGAAGTGGGGTTATTATAGCTCTTGCCTGGGTCTGAAGCCCTTGAGCTTCAGCTTTAGCACCCTCACCCAGGCATGCAGGCTCCTGGGGTCATGTAATTTTTATTGGCAGAAGGAGGTCACAATGCAGTGAACTTTGAGAACCCCTGAACAACCTCCTCCTGATGGCTAAGGCCTTTTAGAGTATTATAGAATATTATACGATGGTTTAAAAAGGAACCAAGGTTGAATAGCTAAAGTATCAGTGAGAGTACAGAATGTACCTGCCTTTTCTTGACAGGTTTATACCAATAATAAAGACTGTAAGTTTTCCAGAAGGATGTATAAAAACTTCATATCCAAGACAGAATTAAAAAAAAAAAAAAATCAGCTAATTTAGTTTTTTCCTGCATTCACATGGGAAGGCAACATTTAACCCTTTTAAAAAAGACCTACAATTTGAAAATAAGAACTGGAATACATTTGACAAGGCAGTAAAGATAAAGAACCCAGTATGAAAATAGACAGTTAAGCCCCGATCCTGCAATGAGCTCCACAGAGTCAGATGCTGCCCAAAGGGCTGAGGGTCAAAAAGCTGAGGGGGAGGGGCGTATGTTGGGAAGAGGCTAGGAGCCCTCTGTAATCTGTTTCTAGTAAATGTTCTAAGGCACATTTTTAAAAATTAAATACTTATGCTTTAATAATATAAGATGGTAAATCAATGCGGATATCAAATGTAGGATGCAAATCAGCTAATTCCTTCCTCGATTTACTTCTTTGCTGAAATCCTGATGAGAAAATTTCTCTGTTGTTCTCTCATCATTATAGCATTTTGACACCTCACTCAGATATAAGCATTTCTTCCTCCACTGCAGTACTACCAATCACATGCATTCAAAAATCATTAGTTCAGCCCTTAAAATCAGGAGCTTTTAAATATAAGTTTGAGGTTCTTTGTTTCCTAAATTTTGTTATTTTAATAACTGAAATGGCATTTAGCTGAAGCCAAATATGAATCTGCAAAACTGACAGGAATACAAAGTTTCATTAAATTTAAAGTTGTGTATAATCTTAATTCTTCTCTATTTTCTCCTGCATTATCACATATGGCCTTGTAATTATTTCCTTTCTAGACACTTTTTCCTATGGTCTTTGGCTTATTCTCTTCTCTCCTTTTTACATCTCCACAGGGATAAGAGACCACATAGCATGGCTACCACTGGCCTGGATCAGTTGACTTGGGCTTGGGCTATGGCCCTAAATATTGTTGTACAGGCGGTCAGACAGCTTGGCAAAGCACTCGATCCTGTTTTTTCAGTTCCTCATTCTCTTATTCACTATTAATTTTAAATCCCAAGATCTCCAGTTCTCCCCGTCGGTCTTTTCCTCCCTCTAGTGGGTCTTCCAAATCCTTATTTCTTCCTATAACTCACTTGTATTCCCTTTCCCCTCATTCCAACACAGCACTGTGTTTCACAGACTGACTTAACCAGTCACCTGCTGTCCTGGTGAGATCCTGGTTTTATTGCCTAGTATTGCAGAGAGATTGTGCTCACTGCCTTTGTTCTCTAGGCCAGTGGTTTTCACACTATGGATTGTGAGCCAGTACTGAGTCATGGAATGCCAAGCACTAGGTCTCATTTCTGCAGGGTGATCAGGTGACCAGTGGGGGTGTTAAGGCAAAGTACCTGCCTGTCCTGGCACCACAAACTGGGCTGTGCACTGGAGATGGCTGGCAACAGGCCTGACTCCTAAGTGGTGGTGGGGGGAGCACACAGGGCTCCTGCGCACTACCCCTACCCCGAACACTAGCTCTGCACTCCCATTGCCTGGAAATGTGCTGCTTTCTGCTTCTGGGTCATATTTTGTAGCACCAGGAGAGGCAGGAAGCCGGTCTTAGCACCCATGCTCATCAGGAGCCACTCAAGGTTAGCCCCTGCTGCATAGCCCTGATGCCCCCAAAGTCAGAGCCCCCTGCTTCACCCCAAAGCTCTCATCTGCCCCATCCCAGAGCCCACACTCCAGTCAAATTATGTTGGCTTGTAGGCATCAGCAATTTTTTTTCAACTGGGTCACGAGGGGAAAAAAAAAGTTTGAAAAATCACTGTTCTAGGCCACGAGTGAAGCGGACCTTCGACAATCATTTTAGTTGCTCCCTCTTCACAACCCTAAACTGCAGCTCACATTTCAGCATAGGTATACAGAAGCCTGATGATTTCTAGTCAGGACATTCTTCCTGCAGGAGTCTGGAGATGCATCTTCCAAAATGCCTTACTCAGGTATGTAATTCCAAACTCCCACAAAATGCAGCTACTATTCAGTTTTTTAAAAAAAAAATCAATAGTTGGGGAGGGGGGAAGGCTATTTGGCTAAGAACACAGTTAAGTCAGGTACCCATTTCTAAGATAAAATTTGGTACAACCCCAACTTAAATCACCCAATACTTTCAAGAGTCATGAAAAAAAATTCCTAATGTATCAGTCATCCTAACAAAACAACTCTACAGCTGTGCTGACACTGTGGATGGCAGTGCACAGCAATCACAAAACTGTGTCTATTTGTGTCAGCTTTTTCATAAAAATGTCATCATTACAGTTGGATCATTCTGCACATTAAGGCTATGTCTAAACTACATTCCTTTTTCGAAAGAGGAATGTAAATGAGCCCAATCGAAAATTCAAATGAAGCGCGGATTTACAAATCTCGCACTTCATTTGCATATCATGTGAGTGCTTTTTCGAAAAAGAAACCGTCGTCTAGACAAGGTTCTTTATTAAAAAAAAAAAAAAAAAACCTTTTTCGAAAGAACCCATACACCTCATTTTTTCGAAAAAGCACTCTCATGTGATTATGCAAATGAAGTGTGAGATTTGTAAATCTGCACTTCATTTGAATTTTTGATTGGGCTCATTTACATTCCTCTTTCGAAAAAGGAATGTAGTTTAGACGTGCCCTAACTAACCACAATCTACTTAATTACACTCACTGCCACCCATTCATTTTAAATTTAGGAGCACTGTTGAGTCTGAAGAGTGCTACTATTACAGAGTTTGTGGCTATTCTAGTTTGCACATTAATCATCATTTAATCACTACTCAACATTTACAGAAACACAGCTGTATTGCGACACATACATAATTTAATCTGTCACTCTTGCTTTATAACACAGTTACTGACTGTATGTATAAACATTAAAACATAACCTGTCTTGATTGCTTCCACCAGCATGTCATTTTTCTCTCCCTCAAGTAGTTTATTATAGTATCCAGCGTTTTGTTCCATGTTGGCCTGGGCTCCACTTACAATCATCCAGATCAGTGCACGATGCTCATTGGGAATGCCTTTCCTGATATATCTCTTCACTGCAATGCAACAAAACAAAACATTATTTTTCTTCTGGAAATAAATAGGAAGTTGAGAGGTTCTAGGAGAACTCTTGACAAGCATTCATTGATCATCCTGCTCCCTCCTTCCTCCTCCGTGCAAGAGGCCAAAAGTGAAGTCAAACATTTAGAATTACTTATTGAGCAGATTTCAGTGACCAAAATACACTGTACCCAGCGTCAAAGAACAGTACAAAGTACAAACATACACACCCAAAACTTCAATCTCTACTCCCACAAAACACACAATTAAGCAGGTGGTTTCTAGTGACTCCACAGATTCCTCAGAGCCGTCCTTTTCTACAAGCTTAATGTATTCATACTACAATAAGAGTGAATTACTAGGAGTTGAACACTATCCCATACATTAGGATTTTAATTTTTCCACTCCTCCTTTATTGTGATGTCCTCTTGCATACAGATTTGAAAATAAAATGGGTTTTCCCATTGATTTATTTTTTCCGTTTGCAAATATTGATTTTTCTTCTTTCCCTGCACTTCTAACAGAGCTTGACATTGTGTGTTTTTTTGTTTACTTGATTATATATTAGAATCACTGAAGATGTTAGCATGACACTAGGATTAGGATCTGGCAATTGACTAGTAGTGGTGCAAAACTCTGCAGTAGAAACACTAGATACCCCCCATGCACTTTTTGGTCATTCAGAGCTACTGGCTACTGTCTGAATGACCCTGCTGGAGTGTCAGAAGGATTGAGAGAAAAACAATTGATTTTTTTCACATACTAGCTGGAGAGGTTTTTTGCTTTTTAATCCAGATCAATTCCCCCACCCCACCTTCTACTATCAGATACTTACCACATTAATGGATAGGGTAGGTTTAAACTACATGCCCATGCCAGTATCCTTTTAATATATCTTCACTGTGTTAACACACACACATAAGCATAAGCAATATGGATACAAGCTTGAAGGAAAATTCATTACTTTAGCTGTTCCTGTGTTAATTACCCCCTAGGAAAGGCATGTGAATACCCACAAACACCTACTGCTTGAAAGTGGTATTCGTAAAATACTGACTATATCATTTAAAAAAACACTGAATTGTGAAGCTCAGGAAACACTGCCGATACATAGATTGTACTACCTGGTTTCTAATGATTACCCCTGCCTAAGCCAAGTGGTATGTTTAGGTATATTCATGCCCTAAAAGTGTACTCACTTGTTTTGCATTTTACTCACTTGTTAGGTTGAGGATTATTTGGTTTTATCATAATGAATATTATGCCTTTTTCTTTAAAGGATTATTCCAAAAATGTACTTCCCCTTGTAACTGGACCCCTCCTGGCATAACTATTTACTCTGAAAGCATTGCCAGCATCAGACATGAATCTAAGTCAAATGTAAGAAGCAGGAACAAGCCTTTGACTTTGGTATCCAGTACAAGGGAACAGCAGCCCTGCAGCTTAACATACACTCATTACTCCTCAGTGTCATTGTCCTCGTGACAAGAGATGTCCTTGGGCTTTCAATAAGAAAGCAAAGATATTAAGCAAGGTCATATGGGAATAAAGGATACACTGTTGACCACATCCCCCAAAATCAGTTATAAAGAGGCCAAATCTCCTGTAAGCACCAAAACCTTTTTATAGCATTGACTCCCTCCCTCATTATAATGCCTAACAATGGATTTTAAAACAACAAACTGCCCACTATAATCTGAGAGAAAGCTAGCCTACAGAAGTGACACAGGAGCTCCAAAAAGGAAGATTAGTTATAATTTTCCAAAATATAGTTCAGTTTTCTACAGCAGGTTGGCTGGATTGCCAGCCAGTTGGCCAGCCCCTCTTTCCTCAAAATAAGAAAAACAAGAACATTTCACTGCATGATTTCTCTTTCCTCACCCAACTCAGGCCACGTCTCCACTTGTGGGAAGATCAACACTGCAGCAATCAATCTTCCCACATTCGATTTAGCACCTGTAGTAAAGACCCACTAAATGGAATGCTGACAGCACCCCTGTCAGCAATGGTATCCCACTCCTTCCGAGCACTAAGGTAAGTCAATGGGAGCATTTCTCCCGTTGAACTCCTGCTGTGAGGACAGCGCCGAAGCTCAGCTTAAGGTATGTCGTCTCCAGCTACGTTTTTTTATGTAGCTTGAATTGCCTACCATAAGCTGACCTTTTGGGCCTGGCCTCTGACTACCTACTAACCCAAAGTTCTGTTCCCACAAATTATTCCAGATGAGCAGGCTCCCACAAACTTTCACGTTTAGTGACACACGTGGTGTCACTTGTGTGAATAGCAGTACATATATCCGTTTTAAAGTGAGCCTATCCATGGTATAATAAAGGAAAAATCCTTTAATCAAACTATGTTGTCTGTATAACACACTAGTGAAAGGAAGCTGCCAATCCAGTCTGGTTTTTTAAAAATGAGTGTAAAGTAGTTCCAGTACCGCACTTGCCTCTGGATTCCCATGCCAGTTTTTGTGGCTTTACATTTATGAATATATTTTCCCCTCAGTAACAGGATAAAGGGTCCACACAAAAGCCAGGGAAACAGAGTAAGTACTGCCCAATGCCCAAAGTAAGTGCAATGAAAAAAAATACAGTATTTCTCCAGCATTGGGCAGTACTTATAACAACAACCTATAAGAGAACTAAGTCAGAAATGCACTTTAAGTTGACAGCATTCCCTTCATGGTATAATTTTCACATTCACTCAGAAAACTCCTATTTCCTTGGTCTATAGACAGACGTGTTTTTGTATAGCGTGACAAATTATGTCCCTCTATGATGTGATATTAAGCAAAGTCATGTGGGAATGAAGTAATTAAAAACAAAAAAAGACTTGTTTCATCCAAAAATATTATCTAAGTTCCAGTATGAAGTATTTCATATTTGGAGCACATTTCTGCATGTAAAAAAAAATTAAATTTAAGTGTTGAGGAATTAGCACATACATTAGAGAGAAATATACCCTAAAACACAGCTACGGTCAGGAGATCAAGATATGGAATTTTAAGTTTCTTATTTTATTATAAAAATATCACACACAAAAAAAGTGGATTGTGTGTACATTTGGCAGTCAAGTGATAGGCAAGCCAGAGATGGGAAACTGTTTATATATTCTTTTGTCACATCTTTATTTCTCTCTCGCCACATAAACTCTCACCACTCCCCATGATTTATACTCAAAATAAATATGTTCCTGTTGTTTGATTTTCCAGTACCTTCTCTAAGTACTATGATTTATTTGGTCTGTTACCCTGCAAAGAAGACTGAAGAAGTTTAAAGCTGTATTTAGGTCAGTGTTTCTCAAAGTGGTCCACGGACCCACTCTAAGAAAGCTGCTAACTAGCCACTTCTGTTTGTTTATTTACCGGGTTCCATTGGCTGCAGTTTGCTGTTTGCAGTCAAGGGGAGCCATGAGAAACAGTAGCCCCGTCCTGTCAATGGAGCTTCATGGCTGTGGAGCTGGTAAATAAACAAACAGAAGGAGCCAGTTAGCAGCTCTCTTGGAGTGGGTCCACAGACCACTTTGAGAAACAATGATTTAGGTCAGGGGCGGGGAACCAAAGGCCCAGGGGCCAGACGTAATCCCCGGCTTGCCTGGATCCAGCTCTTGAGGCTCGGGACTCCCTGCCTCGCACTGGGGTCTGAGCAAACAAAATCTTCCTGCCTGAGCCCCCCCCTTCCCTCGAGAGACAGAGACACAGACACAGACACACAGACAAAGACAGAGAGAGTCAGTCTCTCTCTCTGTTTTGTTTTGTGCTTCTCACTTGTTCACTTGTGTGTGGCCCTTGACCGATTTTTCTGTGAGACAGTGGTCCCTGAGCCAAAAAAAGATTCCCCACCTTAAAGTTACAAACTAACATGGCTATCCCTTTGAGGCTTTTTAGGTATATAGAGACAGTGAAAGTGAAATTAACAAAGGTTAAACAGGAACAAAATCAAAAATGGCAGAAATGAAGACAACTGAAGGAATTTCTTCATGCAAAGTAAAAAGAAAAAAACTTTCAGAACTGACAACCAAACACAGGAATTGAAGCAGCAATTGTTTTGACAATCAGACAAGCACTTAGGTCACATACACATAAAGGACACAAACAACAGAACACTTGGTGTCTTTTCAAGTTGTAATGAAACTATCACTTTATATAATTTCCTCATTTAGTTCTTGAAAAATAATGGGTACAACAGCACGACTAAGTGGAACAATAAACAACAGCCCATGCCTTTTATAGAGGACATTTTAAAAGTTACTCTACCTCACTTGAAAATTATTAGAAGAAAAATTGAAACTGTGTCCAAACACCTCACATCTGATCATACTATATCTAGTCTGGACAACAAGCTACAAAGAGGAAATATAACACTGATGGGTGGAACCAAACCTGAGACACTCTGGAGCTTAGTGCATCAGCCTCTACTGCTTGAGCTGAAAGCTAGCTGGCTCTCAGCAAAGGCAGCAGAGCAGTGGTCACCAACCAGTAGCTTGGGCTCTACTGGTAGATTTGGAGTCTGACAGGTGATCTTCACTAGTTTGGCCAAGAGGCTATCAAGTGCCAGCACTTCAGCTCCCTCTCCCCCCATGGTTGCTCATCTACTGCCCTTTGCCTTGGAGCTGCCCCTCCCCTTGCAAGCCTCCTGCTTTCTGTTCAGGGTAAGGGAGGAAGAAGAAGGGTGCTGATGTCAAGGTGCCCCCTCCCACTTTATCCTTTCTCCACAGAGAAGAGAGGGGGCACAACAGGACTTTGGATGGAGTTTGCTGGCTGCTTTAGGGAGTGGGCCAGGGCCAGGGCCAGGGCCAGGGCCGGGGCCAGGGCCGGGGTGAGCCTGCCTTAGCCCCACTACATCACCGACCAGGAGCCACCTGGGGTATGCAGTGCCCAGCTGGAGCCCACATCCCAAACTCCTATGTTAGTCGTGAACCCCCTCCTGCATTCCAAGCCCCTTCCTGGCCCTGAGCACCCCTGTATCCAGAGCCTGCACCTAGAACCCCTCCTACATCCCAACTGCCTGCCCCAAGCTCAGCTCAGAGCCCCACACACACTCCAGATCCCTTAATCCAAGACCAGAGCCCACACCCCAACCCTCTGCCCCAGCCTGATGAAAGTGAGTGAGGATGGGCAAGAGAGGCAGAATGGCGTGAGCAGGGGTGGGGCCTTGGGAGAAGAGGCACAAAGGAGATGGGGCAAGAGTATTTATATTTGAGGTAGATCTTGGATTGCACTTAAATTCAAAAAGTGATCTCGTGCTCAAAAAAGGTTGGAGAACACTGCAGTTGAGAAATCTCATTCTCTCTCTCTCTCTCCAAGTGGTCTAAGTGCCACTACATGGGATAGCACACCACACTCAGAAGGCATGTGGGTTACATAATAATTGTTTCTGTATGTCTACCAAACTGCAGAACCTTTTCCAGCCCACAGCAGCTCAGTGGCATTTATATCAGAAGGCTGATGAAGTACTTATTGGAAAATTTCTGCCACCAGATGTTTCCAGCAGCAAGTAGATTATTTCAATTTCCTACACGGGCACATTGTAGGTGGGAATTAAAGTAACTTTCCATGGTCGTGTAAGACTCTAGTATTGCACCTCCGGTGCTTGTTGATCACAGGACTTGAGACAATATAAATCACAGCAGCTGAAGAGATTACAGCAGAAATCAGAGCACATGGCAGAGAAATGGGGGCAGGGAGGAATTTGTCAAGTAATGGAGTGTGAATGAAAGAGAAAAAAGAAGAGCACGAAGTGAAACAAGGTGTGAAGCAAGAAGTGAAAGAGGAAAAGCAAGAAGACAGCAAGACTGAAATAGTTAGGACAAGGTGAGGAGCAAGGTAAAGGGAGGGATAGCAAATAATGGATGAAGAAAGCAAATGGAATGATGACCAACATTCATGACCCATCTTTCTGGAGCTCTGATCAAGGATAACAGGATATACAGCATAACTGTTGTTAAAACACCCTAATTAGTTGTCTTTTAAGCAGAACAGAACTTTGCATGTATACATCATGTCAGACACAAGGCATCTACATGCAACAAATCAGCACACAGATATGCTGTATTTCCAAATTAGGGAATTAGCACCACAAAGTCATCCTTTCTTCCTGTTAGTATGATAGTAATTATGAGCACTTCTGAGGACATATGGGTGTAAACTGCTAAGATGATATACATTCAATGGTCCTTTGAGATCCAATAGATCTACACTATGCATTCTGAAAGAAAGGGTTTCAAATCTTCCCTGGGGAAGTAGAAAATGAGGGTGTGGATTGTGAAAGTTCTCAGAGGGTCTGTACAGAAGAGCTGCAAGTTAAACATTCCTCAGTCTGTTTGATATTATGATCAGTTTGTGCTTGGAATAGACATTATTAGTAATCAGCAATTCTGACTCCTAAAGCATCAGAGCAATGAAGCCAAAAGATGGGAGGGATGAAGGAATCAGAGATTTAATAGACTAACTTGCTACTGTTGCAATGGGATAAGTGACCCTACAGGATAAGAACATCCTCACAAACTGGCAACTACCCACATCTTTGTGTCCAGTAGGGGAATATACCTGACATGATAGGTCCTAGTATCAACACCTTGGGGCAAGTATTTATATTAATATTTTTACAGATTAAAAGTAATCTGCCACTTTCCTCTTCTAGAATTTTTAACGTTAGTAATTTGAGTGTTGCTCCAAACAGAGTATGGAAGATCTGTTATTAACTCCAAATGTATACTGTCTCAGCTCTATTGTACTCCTTTTTATTGGTCACATTTTTTCTAAAGGTGTATAAGAAAGTGCACTGTAAGCAATTCTGATTATCTTTAGTAAAAAGTTCATAACAGAAAATTTGACACAATAGACATCCAGGATCTTAAATCTCTGCTGTCATCATATTTCATGTCTTTCATCCACAAATCAGATGTAATTGAATTCTTGATATCAAAAACAGTGGCAGAGATTTTACAAAGCATGATGTAATGCGCCTTAGAACAAACACTGTAGGAAGAGCTATCATTCCTGTAGCTGCATTGCAATAACATCCCAAAATGCGAAAGCACACCTCTAAGGATTCAGGTACCATCCAAAGTCTTGTTTTACATAGGGACACTCAGGAAAATTATTCCAAATTAGTATTTGAAGTGGTTTAGTTGATTAGCAGATTAAGGCTGCTTTAATGTTTCTGCTGGGCACCATTATAAGAATTCCAAACAGAATCTCCAGAGGACAAAATGGACACATTAAGTGCAAAGGGAAAATTAAGAAGTTTACAAAGAAATTTCTCTGATTCTTTTACCTCCATTTAATTACATTTCCCAGCCCCCTCCAATTTCACATCATAGGCTTTCCTACATGGGTTATCCTGAGAGGTTTTCCTGCTTCTTGAACCAGCAATTAAGAGTTCTATCAACATCTTTTCAAATATTTGCACCTAAGCTCCTGTGTTAATTTTACTTTCTCTGTTTTTAACATTTTAATTGTGTCTTATCACATAGGTAGTGCTTTTTAACCATAAAACAACCCATATTTCATAAGTGGGGAAAAGTGAAGAACACAAAGCTAAAGCAATTTGCAAAACGTCAGAGAACAAGTCATGGCTCAGCAAACTTTAGAGAAGAAACTCAGAACTCTTTATCTTAACATGTTCTGTTGCACCATACAACTATCCTTTAATGAGGTCACTTGAATATACAAACATGTAAAATATTATAAGCAATAGTAAGTTATTAAGCTGCATATAAAATAAGATTGCTCCCTTGTGAACTTTAAATCAAATTGATTACTCCTAGAACAGCAGCAAAGTTGTTTATGTATTATTATTGATTTCAGTCCTATTACTTAGAGCAGAAAAGACATTTAGTTTTGTGTTCTAAAGAATAAGTCAATTTAAATTTAAGTTGCATTCCCAATGTGGATCCATCTTCAGACCCAACAAAAAAACCACAAATATTTAACTCACCTTTTACACTTTTCTGTACACCATTATTCCGCTTAAGAAGCTTTGACCATTTTATTGCTCTTCTAGTGAGTACCACCATATATCTGGAAAAGAATTCTTCATATGACATATAATCAAAGTCTTCTGGCCTTTCAAATCCATATGGATCAACCCTACAATATAAAATAAGTTGTTGTATACCAATAAAATTTTTCCATACATATATTTTAAAATATGTAAGTATGATTTTGTAAATGAAATGGTGGTGGTATTTCTGAGAAGTAGTTATGGAAAAAAGCAAAATATTTCCCTTCCTTGTCCCCGCAAATAGACACTTCCGCATCTTTTAGAACAATGAACTGGAATGTATATAAATTATGGTCAATGCCAGAGTTCCCTGCTTTTGGCAATAGAGAGATTTAGAGCTGAAGATCTATTCTATAGATAGTTGGCTTAACCTCTGACTAATTGAAAAGAGGTTTTTCAGAAAACAGGAAAAAAAGGCTATAACAAATGCAAAGAATATACATTGCAAAGGTAAGAGTCTGTGATTCAAAGTTGAAAAAATATTTCCATTTATTCTGTGCTAATAAAAACAGATCTTAAAATTTTCTATTTTTGTAACCTTTGGTAATACCCTATTTAAAGAAAAACATTATTTCAAAAGTGACTATATAAAAATGGCCTGTCTGCCCCTTCATCAGATCTATTCCATGCAAGTGCGTTGTGTACTTATTTTATTTACAGTTAGGGATTTTTGCCTTTACAATGTTTTATTCCCATTAGCACCGAAGAACCAATGTGGCTACCAAAGAGTGAGTTGGATATAATTCTAACTATCTGAAATAGTGATAGACCCCACCGATGCAAAATGTTTTATGTGGGAGGACTGGTACATTTGTCCCATGAATGTCCATGAGTCTTTTCCACCTATGCAGAGTAGTGATGTTAAAATCCGTTTATTTAGGTAAATATGTAACTGCTGAAAATTTTCAACAGTTTCATGGTTACACACGGTGGGGAGACGGCTCCCCAGGAAGCAAGATTTTAAGTGGGGGGGAGAGGGAGAGCAGGCGTCTCTGTAGGAGCCGGTACACGCAGGGAGCCGACTTAAAAGCTGTGCATACTGGCTCCTACCTGCCCCCGTGCAGCTGCCTATGATACAGAGGCAACAGGGTGAGACAGGGGGGCCTGGTGTAACCATGAAAGGTTAACCAATGAGCACAGGCTCACTGGTTAACTGTCTACACATTTACACTTTGACATCCGTAATGCAGAGCAGCTCGCAGGATGTTAAGGCCTAAATTCCAACTGTAAGGGCAAATTCAGTTACACAAGTGCAAATTCCAACAATGGAATTCCACAGGTGTAACCATGGGAAGAGTTTGATCCACTGAATCTTTTAGTGGTGGTGATGCATGAGTCAGAAGCAGCACTACTGGATGTTCAGGCCCACTGAGTTTACAGAGCTGGCAGAAATAAGTCACCTTTCACACTCATACACACAGCATTAAAACAATGCCAGGAAACTCTTCAACTCACACATGTCAAGTTTAGGATTCTGATGGTGAAGGTGGAGAACACATTTCATAATTCAGTATGATTGTTAGGAAGCAGAAAAGAGACCAGCTGAAAAAATTACTCTGATATTCTCCTCAACAGTTAGGTAATCCAATATCTACACGCAGTGTGGCTTATCCAAAGTCCTGGGTAGTCTCCTGATTTTATAAAAGAGTATTGTTCGTTTTTAATAGAAGCTTGTATGTATGTCAAAGCCATTAATCTATTATTTTAAGAGATTCTTCGTTCCAGTGCATCACTCATGGGGTTTTTTGGAAATGGAAAGAATGACAAACCTTCCTTCTACATTTCTATTACAAACCTTCCTTCGTGTCTCTTCAATCCTCATGTACAAAGCAAACGTGATTATTGGGAAACCATCAGCATTTGTTGTTAGCCCGTAACTTCCCTTCAGAATGTGTTCAGCCTTACCAACTCCCCTCAGAATGGCATCCTTCCAAATGCTGATTTACAGCAGTTAATTTCATATTTCCAAATGTATTATCTCTAACCTTTCTAGCAACAGTTATGATCTATTAATACTATTATATAAAAGTGTTTTATTCTCCATAAAGAGATATATCTTGCAAGATAGATATTTACCCTTTATTCATTTCTTCCAAACATTCTTCCATAGGATTTGTTTTGTCCCATAAGAAACTGGAAGAAAAGATACCCCTTTGCCCAGAAAAAGTCTCTCTTTACAAGGCCTGCAGGTTGGGTGTCACGGATCCTGGGTTATTTCCTTCTTCCAACTGAGGAAATAGTCTACATATAAAAAATAGCAACCTATTTAAAAATATTTCAAATTGCTGCACCTCCTTTAAATTTTAGGGGCATTCAAGATTTTCTACGGAGAGAAAATCTCAACAGGACGCATGAGAAAGAGGCTTTTGAGTGTTCATTCTCAGTTTTGGTTTGGTCTGTTTGGGACGCTTGAGCCATTTAACCCAGGGAGCTGCAGTACTGTATAGCGCACAATATACGTTTATAGCCCTCCCTGAGTGAGAACACGGGCTTAGCCAAGCCAGTGAAAATGTTTTTACCGAGTATTAAGGGAAATCTCCACGGGGCTGTGGCAATGGGAAGCGGGGCAATGTTGATCAGTAAGTAAAATTGCCATTTCTTTGGAAAACACCCACCACACCCGCTCTTCGGCACAGAACCGGCCAGCGTCCTCAGCTCGAACCGGGACGTACCCCGCTCTGCCCGC